GGAAGGGGACAAAAAGTGTAGCTTCAAAAACAAAAACAAGAACAGACTCTGGCTGCTGCCGTCGGCAGCCTCCCGCAAGGCGGGTTGCCCACGGGGTCAGCAGCTGCAGGCCCCACCCTCCCCGTGCAGCCCTCCTCTGCTGCCTGGCACGTCCCCTCGCAGGTTTGGTCCAGTGGCGGCGACTTTCTGCCCGGGCTCTGTGCGAGAGCTCTTTCCTTTGAATGACGCCTTTTAGTTCTCAGGGTGATTCTGCTGACATCACCCATCAGTGTTTCTCTCCCTGACAAATGGTAGGTTCTTGATACCTGGTGGCAGTTATTAGGTGCCCGTAAGCAGGGTGAATCCACCCAAGTTCCAGCACCCCAGACACCTCGCAGTGCGGAGCAAGACACGGCAGCGGCCCGGGGAACCAGCACTGCCCATTTCTGCACCCCAGCTTTGCTGAGGTGCCGAGCAGCGCTCTGCTGTACTGTTTACGTTGGGAGCAGGTGGAAAGTTGAGATGAAACAGAGAAAGAGGCAGGGCTTGGAACATCGATGGGAAGATAAAGTTGTGGCAATGCTTTGAGCAGAAAGAACAGCCTGGGTAAATGGACTCCTGTTGTCTTTGGAATGTGGTTATTATAATTTGTATGGCCGTGACGCACGGGCTCGGCGCCTCCCCCACTGGGTGTGCGGGCAGTGAGAACCGAGCCCGAGCTGGCTTCACAGTTCTGGAGCATGTGAGCCGGCCGCCTGGGCTCCGGCAGGTCCCAGACGTGTAATTAGAGGCTCCCGGCCCGGGTGATGCGCAGACAAGTCTTATCACGCGTCCGGGCCCCTGTGGCTGCACGGCTCCCTCTGCCGCGCTGCTGATCTGGGCCCAGGCCTGGCTGAGCCAGGGAACTGTCCAAAGCTGCTTCTGCTCGGCCCAGAGCTTCCATCGATTACTAAACAGAAAACCACGCACTAGGACACTGGCTCTCGCAAGAACACTGGGCCCGCCCGGGACTTGGCACACTGTACAGGCAGCTTCCTGCGTGCCGTGCCCGAGGCATTGCAGCTCAGGCCAGAAAGACACTCATTAGCCTTACACAAGAAGGGAGTGTCCACAGGCCATGCAGTCCCCGGGGGCGGCGCCGGGCTGACCCCGCCCACTGGCAAATGAAATCTGCACCAAGCGTGTGATTAAGATGTTTGACGTGGATCCAGAGTTATTTCCGAGGAATGAAGGTGGTGCCTGTGTTCCTAAAGACAGAGTCAAGGGACTAACACTCTCTCCCAAGGACTGGTCCCTCCCCCTGGCCTTTCTACTGGGTGTCCTCACGGAGACTGTTTCGGGGAACTGGCTGCAGACTGACTTGCTGGGGGTACCCGGCAGTTTTCTGGCATCACAGATCGAGGGGTGACGGCTCGGTGGTCGGACAGCGGCCCTTCTAGGCAGGTGGACACCAGTCCTTGGAAGCCTCCTCCGTGGGCTTCCTGGGGCCTCTGCCCATCCCCATGCCACGCCCCACGGCCCCCCTGCCAGGCGGTGTGCAAAGGGCCGTTCCAGGTGGCGGAGGGGTTTCCTCAGGGAAGTACATCCTCACCGCACGCCGGCCCCTGAGCTCTGAGAGCACGAAGCTTGAGCTGACCTTGTTTAACACGCGTTGTGAGTGGTTCTCTGGGTCTTAGGTGGAAGTGCCTTAAAGTTGGATACATTCAAGTGCAAAGAAAGCATGAGAAGTCACACCCTCCAGCTTCACTAGACAGGTCTCACGCAATCCCTTAGTGACAAGGAGCGAATGTGAGGCCAGCTTAGGGCCCACTTGAATCTTCCACTCTATGTGCCCTCCTCTCTCAGCTCTCCCCCCACTGAATCCCCAAAACTGCTCTTAAAGGTTGTGATTCTCATGTGGAGTAGAAAAGGGCCAGAACATTTGTCAAATGGTCTGGTCCACAAAAACAAAACAAAACAAAACAAAACAAAACAAAACAAAACAAAACAAAACACGTCTGAGTGTGTTTGAGTTTGAACCAAACATTTTCCTAAGGATGAGAATACCATGAGCTCTAGTCCTGGTTTAGAAACCCATTCACCTCCTGGCCAGTTCCCGTTTGCGAGGATGTGAAACCGCCAGGTTGTGTCGACCTGCAGGCCTTTACGGGAAGCGCCCCTCGCGAGTCCTCGGTTTGAAGTGCCGTTTCTAGGGCTAAGGCAAATGAGTCTCGCCGAAAGTTGTGGCAGATCAAAGTTCACGTCATCTTACCTTCTCGGCTGCCATGACCGTGATGTGTAGTTGCATGGCACCATATTTTTAAAACTTTATTGGCTTCGCAAAAAATGCCTAACAATGCCAACATTCATTTGGAAATTTAAAAGTCAGACCCAAGTCCGTTTTGCTGGTGACTATTTCCAGATGAAACACTGTGTGTGTTGTGACAACATGGGTCTCCTCCTTTAATGACGGGCCGTAATTCTGAAAGATGTCACCAATGGGGAGTCTCGGCAATGGCACAGGGGACCTCTCTGTACTGTTTTTTAAACTCCTTGGGAGCCTATAATTATTTCAAAATAAAAAGTAAAAAAAAAAAAGTACATGCAATAATCATGCTAGGAGATTTTTTTTTTTTTTTAGGAAAAAGGCTCCATATATCCTAAAACTATAAATTCTGTGGTGAAATTAAGACCTAAAGTAAGAGTAGCTTGATATCTATTTTGATTGTTGAACCAGTAGACAAGTGGACGAAGTTTTCTTTTCTTCAGCTGTGTAACCCTCTAGAAGAATCTGTGGGCCTCTTTTTCGGAATGGGGCCCCTGACAGTGAAGAAACATCCTCTTAAAGACAGTTCTTTCCATAGCCTTGTGAAGACGTCCCTCGAGACCTAGAGAGACATAATCAATGTGTAACGAGGCCACACCCCCGTCGGCACATGGAATGCAGTGCAGTATGGGTGATGCCCACTGACTGTTGCAGCCTGGGAGGACTTAACATTTAATATCATCCGAATTTGCAGTTGGCTTACAAAGGAGCCCCCTTGACCATAGCTTCTGCTTTCTGCCATGAAGGTTCCTAATAGTAGAGCCTGTGGGTTTGTAGGGTATTGCATCCTGCTCCAGTGTGGTCCCGCGTGGCTGGGGCAGTGAGGGTCTGGGAGCTCAGGGAGCCCTTCCCGTGGGACATGAGAGTTAAGACCGGAGCCTCCTGTTCCTGATTTGAGGTCCGAGCTGTGTTTCTAAGTGATGCTGGCCAATACGAGACTCTGCAGTGCACCAAGTGGCAACCCCCTGCCGCCCCCACCCCCCACCTGGCTTCCTCAGTGGCACAGCCAAGCCCACGCCGGGAGGGCGCTTTAAAGCGCAGTGTGTTTGGGGTGCTGGCCGAGGACTGAGCTGGCCAACGCTGCCACGCGCAGGGTCCTCATCACACGGCATTAGCCTGGCAGTGAAAATTAGCCTGACCAGGAAACACTAGGAAAATGTATGTTCTCCTAAGCTCAAGGGAAATCCCCAAGGTAAGGGGGAAGCAAATAGGGAACTATCTTTATAGCTTCCACCACAATACAAAGGAAAAGCAGTAGAGGATGAAAGGTAAAAAAATGTGGGATGCTGGTAAAATGGTGGAAAGGCCACGCTCAGGCGTCCACTTGGAGGGCCGGGCACCGCTCAGCCTGGTTCTGGAGCCACGTGGGCTGGCCCGTGTCCCGCCCGGTTTCCGCCGCCGAGTGTGTTTCAGAGGCAGCTTCTCCCCATCCCCACAGCCCCACACTCAGCTGGGTCAGGACATCTTGTGCCCAAGGTCCTTCAGCTTCTCTCCAGTGTTTCCAAACAGCCCTGTCCCCTTCTAAAGGCAAATTAGATCACACCAGCCCCGACACAGAGGAGCGTCCGCTGGCCTTTCCCGGTCCACCTACTGCTGCCATAGCAACAGCCTCTCACTGGTCTCCCTGTTGCTTCTCCCCGTCATTCACCCCCCACCTTCAGCGTAGATTCCAGCCCTTCAAATCTTACACCTCAGAGAGGGACAACCCCTTTGTCATTGTCACTGCTCATTTCTTTGCAGCATTTACTGTGCATTGTAACTGCGGGCTATTTTCAGTGCCATCAGCGCAGGGATGGGCCTTCTCCCTCGGGGCCCAGCGTGTGGTTAGCATTCCACAGATGTCCGCAGAGCGAGCTCCCCAGGCCCCTCTGCATCTGGGCCAGGCCAGAAACCACACCCGAGTTTCAGGGTGATGCGAGGGGTGGGTGACCCCAAACGGTCCACTGTGTAGTTACCGTGGCTCATTTGCAGTTGTCATGGACAATGTGCTGTCGTGGGTATCAGTCCTCACCCATCTTACCAATGAGGAGATGGAGGCACCTGTTTTCATGTCTGTCCACTGCACAGGAGAGGTGGGCTTGGACTTCCAGCCCAGACCTTTGGTCCTCGAGTCCTCACTTGGGACCCAGGGGGGTTCCAGCACATGCAGGTGCTCTGTTAAGGTCCCGGAGGGCCTCACCTCCCCCACTTCACCCAGGAACCCGGGAGCCTGGGGAGTGTGGGGAGCAGGCAGAGCGAGGGCAGAGGCGTCTGCACACCCGCCCAGCCTTGCAGTCTCCACCTGCACCCGCAGCTGCCAGGGGGTCACCCTTTCCTCGATGCTGGGGCAAGCTGGGACCCTCGGTGGCCTCTCAGGGACTGAGTCATCCTAACCTAGTCCTGAATCTGACACGAGTCACCAAGTCCATCAGGGCTGGTTTCTCCCATTCCTGCCCCCTCGCAGGGGCCACCCCTCCCCAACGACACCTGTTTGGATAGCAGCGTGGCATCAGTTCAAGTTCACTTTCTCACGAAAGGAACACAAACAGCTCGTTTCCACTGCGCACTTGTATACTATTTAAACACAACTTGCTCATATTATCTGGCATTTTAGGGAATGACAGTAAGTTTCAAGTGTGCAACTAGAAATCTTCCCTTGTGCTTAAAAACGGTGATGTCAGATTGCTGCAGATAGAAAGTCTGGCGAGAGTTTAGGCAAGAAACATTACTAACGGTATCATAAATAAGTATTATAACTTTATTAAAATGAAAAGACAATATTCAAAATAATGCAACAAAAAATGAATAAAATCCTTTGTCCAATACTGCACACATAATGCAGAAATCAGTGCACTTTCTAAAGCATGTTTTAACCTTCATTTAGTTCAGACTAAAATATAGCTTTAAATAGCTCGAATAATCACTCAGCAGCTTAAACCGTTAAGAGCCCGTTTAACTGTTGCGAGACCGTCGCAGCGGCGTGCCTGTGGGAGCCAGCGCCTGCCGTGTGCCCGGCTACGCAGGACTCGCACGTCCAAGCCGCGGCAGTGAGAGCAGAGCTGTGTGTTCCGGCGAGTGGAACGAGCAGGCAGCCGTGGGATTGGAAAGCAGAAAGATGCTGATGTGACCTCTGGGAGCAAGACATATATTGCGCTCTTGGTCAGAAGTGTTTTACTTAAAAAGCAAACAATCCTCAGGAAATACTGAGTAGGAACCTGCAACACAAGGCCAGCTTGTGTTGGATTTGTTTATTAAGAGTCTAAAAAAAAAACCAAAACAAACGACAAAAAACCCGCCACACACCCCCACACAGTAACTCTCAATCGCATAGCTAAGTGTTTCCTTATTGCTTAAGAGCCGCGTCCTGAGCCCTGGTGAACAGTCCGCCTCTCGAGTCCCCCGCGTCCCACTGTTCCCGTGAGGCTCGTGCGGCCACGGGCCGTCTTGGTGGGTGGAACGAAGCAGGAGTTGTGAGGAAAATGCAGTCGTATCTTCTTATTTCCCAAGATGCGAGACACGTCCGGGTGAGAATGCAGTTGCCACACACGCTGCCGGCCCTGCCCTCAGCACCGCAGGACGTGCAACCGGGAAGCGCGTGGGGCGTTTCAGCCTGGGGGGCACAGCCACAGAGCGCACGCACACCCCGCGCCCCAAGAAGAGACTGCTGGCAAAAAGAAATCAAACAAAACATAACAGACCGAAGAGCCAGAAATCTGCAAACTTACTACTAAGCAAAAATAATTTTTATGATTCCGATCTAAATACTGTGGTTTCTTCTATGTGCTCAGTTTTCGGTCTGCCCCGAGTCCTCCTGCAGCGCGAGTTCTCACGTCCCAAATATATATATATATATATATATTACTCTAAGGGAGTCACTAGCTGGCTAACCTGCTACTTGGTCTAGGCTGCGCCACGAGTGCACATGCAGTCTGTGGCGTTTGTGTGCGTGGCGCCCCGCCCTGCCCCGCCACGTCTTGGCGCGCGGACAGACCTCTCTCCAGCGCTGGCAAGCCGGGCCCTCAGCACAACAGCACCTCTCAGCCTCTCTCTCCAGAGTTCAGCAGTTTGTTCCACAGCCTGGAACGCCTTCCCGTGAACCGCAGGCAGGCTGGGAACTTGCTTGAGGACCCCCTGCTCCCTGGAACCTCCGCCGGACCCGAGCCGGCGCCTAGGGTGAGACCACGTAGGCCGAGTGCTTCCGCTTCCCGTGGCCACCCGGGTCCGCTCTGGGCATCGGGTCCAGCTTTTCTGTGGCTGGGCCGACACCGCCGTCGGCGGGTAAGGGCTGCACCCGAGTGCTCGCATTTGCTTCTTCTGCTTCCCTAAAAAACTTTTCATATTTGTCCAGGTACGGCGGTCTCTCAGGTAGTAGGTAATAGTGTGTGGAGCTAACCTTCTTCCCATTCTCAATGATGGGCAGGATGCAGGGAACCCTATTGGCAGACCCTTCACTGTTCTGTCTTTGCAGAGCTTTGCTGCTGACGTACTTGGGGTCGGGGGCAAAGCTCTGGGTGGGGGGCATGACCCCGTTGAGGTAAGACGGAAGGCTTTTAGGGCTCGGCGTGCGGGAGTTGCTCCGCGACAGAGGTTCTCTCGGTGGCACTTTGGGAGGCCTGTCTTCGTCGCTGTAGGTGCTGGAAGTCACCTCGGCCGACCACCTTCTGTAGTCTGGCTTCATGGGCCGCGGAGGTATGGGGACCCTGGGGGGGACCTCAGGTTTGTCTTCATCGGAGTTTGGAGAAGCTCTGTGCACGTAGCTGTGTGCCTTTACAGCTGGCTTGTTAAAGGATCCAGCTGGGCCCGAATGAGACCTTCTTAACCTCCGGTGGCTCTGGGGTGCAGGGGGTTCTGGGTGCTGCCCCCCTGTGTTTTGCTCGGATGCCTGGCTGAGATCCACCACAGAGACGGTCGGGGTGTCAAAATAAGCATAGTTGATCTGGCCACACCCGCGGAAGCTCCGCCTGCCAGGGACTCTGTACTTGAACTCAGAAGGCGTGCAGTCCTCCAAAAGCAAGTCTGTGTCGGAGCAGGTGAAAAACTCCACCTCACAGTCTGTGTCGTCCAGACAGTGGCCTTCCGAGATGGGCAGGGGGGGGAGGGGCCTGCAGCCCCGCTCGAGCGCCTGGTAGGGGAACGGGGACGGGCTGTTCTTCATGGGTGTGAGAGGGGGGGTGGGAGCACACCCTCCATTTACTGAGAGTTTCTTAAAACCACCCACAACTTGATCTTCATCATGGGGTCCCAAGTTTTCACTTGTGGGAAGAGTAAGAGGGGGCAGGGTGGCCTTCTGAGAGGCGCCCTGCTCTGCAAGGCGGTGGCCGTTGGTCGGAGCAGATGTCACGGAGCGCCCTGGAAAGAACGGGAAGGTGAATAAAGGCCCAGCAGGGCCCTCCCCTGCGTGAGGACGACCCGGCTGCCCGGGCTCCCAGGGCTGCTGCCTGGACGGCAGCCGCCGTCACCCTGAGAACACCCGTGCAACGCAACCACCAGGGGTGTAATTAGAGCCCAGAAGATTGTTAGCGCACAGGATCTGGTTCAAAGAACAAATTATCTCTTCTATCTCCCCTGGACATGTGCATGGCACACACCCACACCTCTCTGGCAGGTTTTGTGACGTGTGCAAAACTCGCAGAAGATGAACAGCATGTAATTTACACGAACACCACACTACGGCAGCCCGGTCATTTACGAGCTGCGACCATCCCCAGTGCACGGGGCCTGCGAGAGATAAGATGAAGCCCTTGCAGTTCTCGCCAGGGTGGTATTGGAGTGAGTGGACTTGCCTGCAAAAACCTAAAGCATGTAATGTCCACGTTACAAGGACTATATGGTGTCTAACATGCCTTTCTAAGGTTTTATCAACATTTTTACTCCTTGATCACTTGCAAACAGGCATTCGATACAAGTACGAAAGGTGAGTGGTCTCACCCAAAGGTTCTAAAAGCTATGTGTGTGTCATGACTGGGACCAGAACTTAATTCTTGAACTTCCACAGGTGGGTCTAGTTGGGAATCAGTGACTCGGATCAGGGACGATAGTCCCGGAAGAACAGACTATCTTCAGAGTGTTGCCACTAGGGGTCAGACTGTTGGAGGAACTTGGGTTGTGTCCTCCTTTTGAAAGGCAGTGCCGGGGGGCAAGCGAGCGGCGGACGCCTGGATCCGCAGGACACATACCAAGAGATGTCAGGTGCGCCTGAGCAGTAGACTTCAGACTGTAGGCCATGGTTATTGGGTCAATGTTTAAAAAGTGACTGAAATAAAACAAAGACATCTTGGTCAGAAACAAGTAGCGATCACTCTCGTTTTCTTTTCACACTCCGAGGGAGTGAGGGAGTCCAAGGCAACATGTCTCACACTCACTTTTCAAACTCTCCACGACTGCCCCAGCAGGTGCTCAGGTCCCCCATGGTCTGCCCATCTCGCAGAAGCCCGGTTTTCAGCGGGACGCGAATCTCCTGAGCGGCCACTCCTGCGGTTGACATTGTGCTCACACTGGGACCCCAAGGGCTCTGTCAGTCAGCCAGCAGCTGTTGGTCCCTAGGAGACAGAGAGGGACGAGAGGATGCAGGGACAATTCAGAAATACCCATCAACGGCTAATACTAGAGAATTTCCAGGATGCCAAACAGAAAAACTTAGTTACAGACTTTTGCTTAATTCTGACATTTTTATACTCATTCGTACTTCTTGTGAGGGTACTGAAACGTAGACGTTAAAAGTGATTTTTTTCCTGAAGTCCTGATCCAAGATTTGCAATGTTTTGAGCAAAGTGGGAAATAACCTGTGGCCAGGGAGAGCGGACCCCCTCATGCCAGGGCCCACAGCTGACAGCAGCCCTGCTGGCGGCCTCTGACTGCCCACACCTGGCCTTCAGAAGCCCCCATGGCCCACACTGCAGGGCTCCTGTTCCGAAGAGCCCAACGCCTCCCGCAGACGAGACTCTACAACTGGCACCTCGGCAGCCCACGGCCGACATTCATCTGGATTCTGCGTTTCAGGGTCGGCCTCAGGAAGACAATTCTCCGGTGGTTACTTGTTCAAGAATAAAGGAATATAGGAAGATACTGATTTCCATTATCCTGTAAAAATCCAGTTCTGCAAGGTGGCTGGCTTTGGTGGCAGCCTGGGACAGCTTCCTCTTCCCTTTCAGAGACAGACAGAAAGGTGCATTCTTCACATTCTCCTGCTGACATGCCAGCTGCAAGGCATGGGTGACAGGGACAGGGACGTACCCTCTCCTTGACCTACTGATCCTCAACTTTGGGAGCCCCCTCCCTCATCAGTGGGTACTGGCCCGGAGTCCCCAGAGCCTCTTTTTAATTTCGCTTTTATTCGCCATTAGAGCATCAGTGCTCGTGTTAATTAGTATCTATGTCAGGCTTAGAACACGTTTGGGACATACTTTGTCAACTATATGTGTAACAGTGACCCCTTGTCAGATGTGTGAAGAGACTTCACAACACTTTCTTATTTTCACCAAATGTATGTGAGCTGGTGTGCAGAGGATGGAGGTGAGGGCAGGGGAGCACAGGTTACTTTTTTGTTTTAGGAACAAATCTGTCACCTCCTACGAGCCCGTGAGCTCAGAGAAGAGGTGTGTGCCGAGCACCCGGGAGCACAGGCAGGGCCGCACGTGCGCGGTGGGGACCCTGGGGCCCCGCCCCCACCTGTCTGCAGGCCAGCAGCGCCCCTGTGCCCCCGCCCGTTGCCATCTATTGAGCTTTCCACAGACCGACACGCCTCGGCCGCCTCAGTTCTAAGCTTATGTTTCAGGGGTCCCTTAAAATCATTTACATGTTCTAGAAAAAGTTATTTTTTATTCATTGTTTCCATCACCTACTTGTTAGCTTTCTTAAGAAAAAAATTTTTTTAGTCTGAAAAGAATTGTGTTCATGAAGCCAGCTCACTTCTGACCACAATAGTGTCTTTGTGTATTCATAGAAGGTGACCTGCCTCTCCGTTTCAATGGGGAATTGTGAATGGGCCGCATTATGAAACCCGTCGCAACTTCCTACTTGCTTGCACGGAGAAGCGAGGAGGGCAGCGTGAGTTTATGTTCTCTTCTTGCGGAAAACATGACTGCAGACTCAGAGGGCAACCTGCCACAGGCTGGGAAACGAACCTGCCACATGGGTGCCTCCGACAGCAGGTAAACTGAGGCGATGGAGCCACCAGAATGCTTTTACGCCACGCGCGGAAGTCTGAGCATTCACCGGAGTGAGGGCTCCTGGAATGGGGGGCAGATGCCGGACCCACTGGGCCGGCCTCAGGTGGAAAGGAAAGCGCCGCTGGAGTGCCACCTGAAGCTGTGGCGTTTCACATTGTCTCTTTGTAACCGGGAAGCCAGCTCTGCCTCACAGCTAATCAGGAGGACAATAGCAAAAATACACCCCTTAGGAAAATCAGCACCTGGGAGTACAAGATGGGATTGTTGAAATGCAAATATGAAAGCCAATGTTAATTAATTAATCCAGGCAGTGTGGTACACACCAGGATCTAAATAACCTTAGGTATAATAACTTTTCTAAAAGTTATGAGCTAACTTTCATCTTTTAAGTGTGTTAAAAATGCTGTTAAATTCCAATCCCAGATGTGAACTACTTTTTCTTGTTAAACATCACATGGATGTTTTTTCATTCAAGGGGAAAATATACTCTTTAAAGCCATGTTTCTCGAGGTGGTCCTTTTAGGTCCTCACACCGGCCGGCCCTGCCCAGCTTTGACCCACTTTGCGGCTGCAGCAGCACAGACAGCCCTGAATCCTGACCCCAGCCCTGGCTCCGGCTTCCACGCAGCATTTCCCATTGTCTGGTGGTTGTCTTTGCACTTAGGGGGGGTCCTCTGGCACTCCCAGCGCCCTACCCTCCTTCCCCAACCAGGTCAGGGTCTAGGGGCGCCACACTTTCAACCTGAGCTGCAGCCCACAGGGCTCAGTGACAGAGAGCCACGGTCTCCCAGGTGCCCCTTACTCCTGCGCGCCGCTCCACTCAGTGGTCCCGACTACAGCTCAAGTGCAGACCTGCCACTGTGTCAGATCTTCTGACCCAGAGCGCCCCGGGCTGGCCTCAGGGCCTCCACAAGGCCCCATCTACGTGTGTCAGGCACTTGCTTCTCTCTCCCCCAGATCCGTCAAAATTCAGCTTCCCCTCGAGGGCCAGCCCCTAGCCCACCTGTCCACCAGTGCGTGGAGCAGAGCCAGGGGTCCTGTGGCTTTGTGTAGGGTCCCCTGAGCTTCCCATCCTCCAAACCTTCTAGGACAGGGCCTGGTTTTCCCCGGAAGGCCTGGCATCACTCATTTCTAATAGCTGCTAAATGGATATTGTGAAAAGGTTCATCTCATTTTTTTAAAAAAGTAACTACGTGAAAGATTCACATGCAGTGTAAATCAGTGAAGAACTAAGGGAAAAAGCAAAGGACTGTAAGGAATACGTTTAGGATATGAAGCAGTCGATTTTCCTCAAATTCATTTCCAAAATCTAAAGTGGACAGTCTGCGGACTGGGTAAAAATTGTAAACTTAAATGGTTAACAGTGTGGCCTTTGAAATCGGTTTCTCTGGCTGTGTATTCACTTAAGGCAGTCTCAGGGCAGTGCTTCACTCCCCCTGCTCTTACACATTATTTCTTCTGGATTATAAGGCATCTACTGTATTTTTGCTGTTAAAAAACCCAACAAAACAAAAAAGCTACACCAATAAGCACACTGAATGTTCTTTATTAAGGTGGAATCCCAGGCCTTTACCTGGAGGACAGTCTCTTTGAACCTGAAAAAACCAGGCTACCTTAAGACAATAACCTAGATCTGCTTACCTGGCCACCAGATCTCATTAATAAATCTCAGGAGCAGCCCACAAGGGGGGGAGGGGCACATTTTTGTCACTCGACTCATCCAGTTCTGCCCAGTGCTTCCTTATTTAAAAGTGTGATGTAATTTCCTTCTTTCAATCTGGTTTTAGAACCTGATTTCTGTTTATTCAGGGTGATAAATGGTCTTTTCAGCTGCATTCAACAATCACCTACAGAACTATGCCCAGACCCAAGGACATATAAGGTAATTACATTTAGGGGCAAAATGTGTAAGAAGAAACTGATTTAGGAACGTGACACATCCCATGATTGTAAATCCTCCCCAGATCAACTGACACCTGCGTGTTTTGGTCTTTCCTTTGAAAATCTCTAAAATAATCACCTTTGGGGAAAAAACCACAAAACCCCACCATTTTTACTGGGAGTTGTGTCTAAAGCACTAGCAGCCAAGCCCTTCGACATACCGAACGTTCAGCTGACCTCTTTTATAGAATCGCAACCTTTATTAATAATATGACAAAGTGCACTGATCTGATGTTTATCAGTGTTTGCGACAGTTGCTATTTACTAAGAGCAAAAGACTTCAAAATCAAGGCCTCAACCCAGGGTTTCTTCCCAGGGTTTTTAATAGGGTGTGATTTGGGGAACAGGAAAGAGGGGCAAGCAAGTGAATGATATTTCTTTCCTTTGCTGCATCCAGTCACTGGGAAGAGTACCAACAGCCTTCACATTAAAAGCACAGTGACTTTTAGCCCTGGCTGGTGTGGCTCGGTGGATTGAGTGCCGGCCTGTGAACCTAAAGGTCGCCAGTTCAATTCCCAGCCAGGGCACATGTCTGGGTTGCAGGCCAGGTCTCTAGTTGGGGGCATGAGAGAGGCGACTGATTGGATGTTTCTCTCCCTCCCTTCCCCTCTCTCTAAAAATAAGTAAAATCTTAAAAAAAATAAAATAAAAACACAGGTGGCTTTTTAAAAGCTTACATTATCTCAATAAAATGTGAGTAAAATAGTTGTGAACGAGTCCAGGCTAAGCTTGGTGGTTTTGGTAAAGATGGAAGTGTAGCTGGAACCAGCGCGGGTGACACTTGTCCCCAACACACCGGGTGTGTGACGACCATGTCGGGAGACGCTGTGGCAACAAGGAAAGTGACTTATCTTCAGACTGTCAAAATCAAAGCTAAGCGACATGATCTCTTGGATAATTCAGAATCTTTGCTTTCTGAGTATTAAGAAATGGCAAGGTAACAAAACCTATCCGTTCAACTACCACAGTTATCAACAGCCTTTTGGTTCAGCTGGTCTCTGACACCACAGACCTGGTCTTTTGTCCTTTTCTGCAGAGCAGTCTAATCAGGGGCAGCACCCAGAGGGTGGAAAAACATTACTCCTTTAAGACATGCGTGTAGTAGTTCTAATTGTAAGAGATGTGTAAATTCTACTCTAATTTTAATGACAACAAGCACGGTGGTCTAATGATGGGAAGCGTATCTTCAAAACTTCAAATTTACTTAATGAGCACCCAGAGGGTAGCTCTAGTTGTTATAATGAACATCAGACCAGTAAAAATAACAACTGATCCACTGGACGCTTCCCTGATAGGCATTGTTCTAAGTGCTTTATTTATACGCTAACTTACTGAACCCCCTCAGCAACCCTAGGGATATGCGTTACTATTACAGGTGAGGAACTGGAGGCAGAGGTCAGCACCTTACTGGGTCAAGGTCAAGTCTGAGGAGGGTATGGCAAGCAGTGGATCAAGACTTAACCCAGGGAGCCTGGTACCAAAGCCCCCACCACGCACGCCGCCTCTTCAGGCCGCTTGGCAGTGAAGCCAGGATGAGCTCTGACCCCGACAATGCTCCAGTTGTAGGGCGGTTCAGACGGGCTTTTCTGGGGATTTGTGGCTTGGAGATAATTTTTCTTGGGTAACCCTTATCCTACAGAAGTTCTTGTTTTACTTCAACTCCTTCAGATTCTCCTATAAAAGTGATTAGTTGCAGATTTGCCCTTTATATCCTCTAAAAAGGTATTAGGTTTATATTCTTCAATTACTTCAAGCAATTCTTTTGAAGCCCTCAATCTTTAATGATACGCCGATGTCCCCCCCCCCCCCACATCCATTGAAGTGCCCTGTTTGACACAACTTTGCAGGTCAGTGCCCTTTACCCTCGAAAGAGGTCAGTGACCCCCGACCCCAGGCCTCCTTTGCTAGTGTACGAGCTCACGGCCTGGGCCTGGGTCTCAGGGCTGCAGGCTTTCCATAATCAGGTATCTTGTATTTGCCAAGCACTCCACAAATCACAAAGCACTTTCTAACACATCATCTCACTTGATCCCCATGACATCCCTGTGAGAAGAGGCAGGGATTATAATCTCCATTTCAGAGACAGGAGGAAATGAAGTGGCACCTTCCTGTTACTGCTTCTGCCTCAGACGCAGCAGTGTTCTCCCCACTACACTGTCACTGGCCCCCCTTTCCCCAGCTGCTTCCCTCTCAGGCGACCCCCTCCCCACCGTTTCTCCTCCCAACACGCTTGTTTACAAATGGGGAAACTGACACAAAGGATGGCTACGTGCAATGCGGGAGGTATTTGTAGTGTTTAGCTCACAAGTTCTTCGAGGGCAAGGACGAAGTCCTTTCATAAACAGCCATCAAATGCTTATTCTGCACTAGATACGACACTGGGTGCAAGACACATGGCCGCCACCTGCTGAAGCCTCAGTCCAGTGGTGAGAGCTACAACGGTCAAAGCCACCATTTCAGATCACGGTCACCTCCAACAGGTGGTTAGGGAAGGCCTCTCTCAGGTGACTTTTTACATAAAAATCCTTTATGTAAAAGGATGGAAAGGCAACACCCACAGAGTTAGGAGACGAACACTCCACACACAGGGCGCAGCATTCCTTTAGACAACCTGTCTAGTTGTTTCCCAGTCTGTGGGTCTTTTTAATAAGAGTTATTGGACACTATCTTCTTTTTCTTTTAAAAAATTTTTTTAAAGATTTTATTTATTTATTTTTAGAGAGAGGGGAAGGGAGGGAGAAAGACAGGGAGAGAAGCATCAGTGTGTGGTTGCATCTCACATGCCCCCTACCAGGGACCTGGCCTGCAACCCAGGCATGTGCCCTGACCAGGAATGGAACCTGCGACCCTTTCATTCACAGGCTGGTGCTCAATCCACTGGACCACACCAGCCAGGGCTGTCCTTCTAACTCTTATCTTCCTATGGTTCCCTCTATTCAACTGTAATGTCCTGTTGAATTGTGACACACTTTGGAGCTGAAAAGGCCTAATCCATATAGCCAGGGACCCATATTTTAAAAGTGTATACATTGGCCTTTTAGTAATTGCCCAATTTTATGGTATGAGGCAGTGATTTCCAACCAGTGTGCTGCAAGAATTTTTAAAACATTCAATATTTGACTGTTTAGTCAGGGGCACTGACCTCTTTCCCCTTAAATTGTCAAATTAAAAAAATTGACAACAGCCAACATAGCACTAGTGCTCTGATGTGAATGAATCAAAATTATACCTACTTTTTGGGTCAGATTGGCAAACATGCATTTTTGGTGTGCGGCAGAATTTTAGTACTTAGTTTATGTGTGTCATGAGATGAAGAAGTTGAAAACTGCTGGTATTAGGACTTGGAATAAAGTATCAACAGTGACTCTAACTCACAGAATCTTTTGTTTCCTTTCTGAAGTCTGAGGCCAACACTAACTTTTCCATACCTCCAAACTAACTTCTCTGTTAAACTTACAGTCAGAGCCCCGCAGCTCCCGTTCTCTCTGCCTTCACAAAGCAAGTGTTTATCCCTGCAGACACTGCCCAGATGCCACGACTGCATTTTGTTTACCTAGTGCGTTATTCATTAGCTTCTATAAAGCACGGCCAAACTCGAGCACCAGCAGACGCCACAGAACCCTGATGATGAAGGAGCCATTCAAATGTATTTAGATTGCGAGAAGAGTGGTTTCTCTGGTAGAGGGAGCCCATGACATTCAAATTCCTGGAATGAACCCTGGCACCACCCCCTCCCTCCTCCTCTGCTCACCTTTCTAAAGCAACCTGATGGCATGTAGACATTCAGGTCAGCTTCAAGCATGTTCGATTGTACCTGTAATTTAGCAACTGCTTTTAAAAGCTACCATCAATATTAGCAGAAAGGAAGTATTATCTGGTTCAGATGCCAAGAAGCAGCAGTTTTCACACAAAAACTCAAGTCTGTGGTATATTAAATCTCACAGAAAGACTGATTAGTACCTTTGGGGAGCTGGAAGTAGTATAAACAATTCATTCAAACAATTTTTCCTACTATCGACATATGAATGATTTGGACATTTCCTAACAGTCATTAAAAAACAGATTTGCTTTGCGACCCTTATCAGTGACTGCTCCAATCCTGCTGAGCTTTAAAATGTATAATATGCTTTCGTGCAATTATTTATCAATCATTAACTCTGTACAAGGGTGCATAAGACAGGAACAGAGTTCCTGCCCTTAAGGGGTTTACAATCTAGTACTTGTTGGTTTATAAATGGTTTGTTCAAGACCTCTCTCACCTATTAGTGCATATCCGATGGAACACACCTGAAAACAGACCTGTGTGAAGGAGGGCGTGACTGTGTGCTGAAGTCCAGGCTAAAACCTGTATGTAGTCTCTTAAAAAAAAAAAAAAAAGCTTGGTGGATAACATACTCGTAACAATCAGAGTCAGCATGTTAACAAGAAACCAACTTTTATTTTGGTCTCGCCAAAATCTGGTCATTCCCTGAAATGGGCACCTAGCCGGTCTTTGATCCTTTTAAATACAACTTCACTTAAAACCGTGTAATTACAGACATTTTTTTAAAAAGTCAGTTTTTTAAAAGGCAAGACTAGGTATGCTGAACAAAGATGTTTCAGTCTCAACAAACACATGGCTACTGCATTCTTACAGATCTGCAAAACTTAAAACTTTGCAGAACACTCGTCCTCAAGAAAAAAAAAAGCATTTTAACCTCACCTTCCTTCACCTCTGACAGTTGCCTAGAAACCAGTCCTGCCCTACCTGTGTTGCAGGTGTACCTAAAGTCACCAACACATCTCTTTTAAAGCTACAGTCTCTATTCTGACTGCACTTAAGTTTATGACTAACAATCTATTCATATTTTTTATCAGGTAAGAGACTGGTTCCTTTCAAGCAATGACGAAACCCTAATAAAGACTTAGCAAGCACCATACAGCACCAATCATGGCTAAGGAGTCATCTCATTTGCACTAAGACTATGATATATACATAAATACACACGTACACCGGGAAATACCCAAGAGCGTTCCCGTTTAGAACAGAGAATTCTGCAGTTCCTTCCCTTATGAAGCAGTATTTAGGACGCTCAGAGCAGAATCACGTTCCTAGGAGAGGAAGAGGGCTCAGAGCTATGGGATGAATTAAGGAAAACCGACTGTTAGAAGACCATGGTCGCCAAGACTGAGCAGGGGACCGCGCGCGGGCAGCGATCGCCCACCGCGGATGTCAGGACAGGGTTGATGGGCACCCGGTGCGCGCCAGGAGAAGGCAGCTCCATTGTGGACAAGCAGAGCGCGCGAGGCCGCCGCCAGCCACGGACGCAGGACCCGGCTCGCCGCTCCGAAGCCCCGTGCCCTCCGCAGCAGTCTCAGGGCCGAGGAGCGTCCTGGGGCCCGGTGCGCGGCCGGCGAGGCTGGGGCGCCCCCAGGCCCGGCCGCGCCACCCCGGCTGGCCCTCCCTCCGCTCGTCCGTCCCGCGGAGACTCCGCGTCGGGCGACCCTCTCCGCGCCCCGGGACCCGCCCAGCGTCGGGAGCCGCCTGCAGCCCACAGCGGCGGGGGTGCAGCACCACCCTCCCCACCCGTACCCCGCAGGCCCCTTACCCCGCGGAGCCGCGGCTGCCCCACGGCGCCCTCCCGCGCATGTCCGTCCCGGCTGGCTCAGCGCCGCGGGCTCCGGGGGCCCGGACACCGCGCAGGCGCCTGGCCGATCGCAGCGGCTCTCCCGTTTCGCACTCTCTTCTCGCACTCGGCCGCAGTCGCCCGGCCACTGCCGCCTGCTTTTATAGCCATTGGCAGATGCGTGACGTCACGTCTCCGCCCCCTTCCCCGCGGCAGCCAATCCCGGCCGCCAGTCCCTTAAAGGGGCAATGCTGCGGTCGCGCGCGTGGGGTCCACCGGCGTCGCGCGGCCTGCGTGGAAGCCGCCTTTGTCTCCCCCAGGGAGGTGCATCTGGCCGGCTGCGGCCTCGCGTCTCAGCTCTACGGACTCTAAGAAGAGTGGGGGCAGCCCGGCTCCGGCTGCGGTTCCTGCCTCACCCCAAGGCGGCGCTGCGCCTCGCGCGGAGTTTCCCATCATTTCCAGCCGCGGGGATGGTTTTTGCGTGTCCGCGGGCGCCGCCCCGCTCTCCACGATGCCCGCAGGCCGCAGCGTGGGAGGGTCAGCGAGAGCCAGGTGTGGCACAGTATGGGACAGTGTGGGGCAGCAAGGGCCAACGAGGGACAGACTGGGACGTTGTGGGGCAGCGTGGGACAGAAAGAGACAGTGTGGGAGAGCAGGAACACCTGGGACAACGAGCGACAGTGTGGGATACAAGGGACAGAGTAGGACAGTGTAGGGCAGCATGGGACAGTGGGAGAGCAAGGGACAGTGAGGGGCAGCATGGGACCTAGGGGGGCCCTGAAATGAGAGACTGTGGGGTACAATGAGCAGTGTGGGACAGTATGAGACCTTTAAGGGCCCTGAGGCCAAACGGCTGATGCCTCTCCCATAGGATAGTTGAGAGAGGGGCTGACCAGCCACTGCCCCTCTGACCACTTGACCTGGCAGCAGTGGACCCGGCCAGGGCCACCCACAGGCTTCCAGAAGGAGCACCTCCACCCCTAACTTGGCGTCCCTTTGAGGTCCCCAAGTCAAGGTTACCTATCAGGCCCGCTCGGGCCTCCCTGTCCCTTGGCCCAGGGGCAGCCCCTGACTCCGAGGACCAAATGCCAGGGAGCCCGCTGGAGGAGGTTTCTTGGGGCACTGGTGATGCAACTTTAGGCTTATAGTTTAACCGTAAAATAAATAATACAAATGATAACAAACCAAGAGTAACTGAAGTGAGAAAAAGAGCAAACAGACAGAAACCCTCCAGTTTTAACTAGAGCAACTCCCTTGGAATGGTACTCTCTATTGAGTAGAGGCTGGAGACCTCCTACTGCCTCTTACGTCTCCCTGGAGTCCCTGCCTGCCTTTCAGCGATAACGCTGAAGGTAGTTGTACCTTTAGCCTGACTGGGATGGCTTCTTGCAGGGAATGAGAGATTCCCACCTCACTATCAGGTTAACTATTAACTTTGCCCTCCCAGACACGATTTGCCTTTTCTCCCCTATTATTTACTTACATTCTTTTAAATTTAATTCAAAGGCTTAATTGTGAATACAGGCCCTTAAGCACACACACCCACCCACACGTAGGCACACACCAAAAAAATCTGAAGAATCCCTTTGCCCTTTTTCAGTTGCAAGATAAATGAATGTTTAGCAGAGTAGCCTCTATCCCCATTCCTGACCAGCTCTTTCTGGACAACAGAGGCTTCAGGCTATCTTCCTATCTATGCTGCTTATCAACATTTCCAGCAATTCCACCTTTGTTTGTTTGTTTGTTAACTTCTTACTTTTGGCTTTTGTTTAGTATTATTGTAGGATGATGGAAATTAGTCACAACTAATTGCTGGTTTTCTTACCACATTAGGTTTTTTGATTCACAGAATATGAGATCCCCCTCCCCATTTTGGTTCCGTCCATGTGGAAGGCTCGCCCATATGCCGTTATCAGTGTAAAAAAAGGACCAGCCGGAAAATTTGCCAGAGAACAGCTTTTCAGAGCTCACAGTGAAGCATTTACTGAATGGGGACCTTGATGAGCTCCAGTTTCCTCGGAAAGGAACCCTAGTTACGCTATTTCAAGTTGGTACAATACAGTTGTAATTTGTGCTGGCCTTATTGGCATGGCTTTGACATTCCCTATTCATAAAACAGTGATAATCACCAAAGCAACCATCAGACACACCCCTTCTTTAGAGACAGAAGATCAACAGGATACCCACTGTACGGTGGTGAGCTGAATGATATGCTAATGTTCTGGTAAATTATCAAAAATTGTAAAATCCCCTGAGTAATGTGTTAATCTGAGTTTTCTTCTGCTCCATTTTAAACTTGCAACAAAAACATCATGATGTATTCATTTTGGATGGAAAGCCAGGTATAGCTGATAGATTACTGAATTTTGCTTACAGTTATGTTCGTACAATATGGCTTTCTCAGCTGTGAGCCAATTAGGAGGAGGCTTATACTGATGTAACCCCCACAAATCTTTGATCTAATAGTCCACTTCAGATATTTGGTTATACCACTGACATGTCAATAATAGAGTATTTGGGAAAGAGTTGGAAAGGAGAATGCTATGCAAGTTGAGATAATAGTAGCATATTGCACTTATCAAATGATCATTCTCACCGATTTTTAACAGATTAGGACACTAGTCTAGAGGTTTAGGTTACGAAAAAAACACTCTTCGTACTGAACCTAACTTGCTTTAAATTGCCTGCAACAAGAAAGAAATTTAAAGTCGGGCAATGTGTTTTCTACACCTCTCATAGTCCATTTAATTTGGAGGCCACTTCTCAAGGAATTTATATTAGCTGATTGTTTTCAGTATAAAAAAACTTCCTAAACATAACATCTAAAATGTTAGACTTACATCACGTTGACCCAGGTCATCACTGTGCACTTGCCCTTCTTTCCGTGTAAGAAGAAGCTGTCCTTGGAGTGGGAACAAGAGGGAGGTTCTGGCTTGGAAACCTTAGATCCACAGCCTCTGCTCTCCGCAGGGCTGGGGCTTTCTCTCCTCTCCCAGCGGTGCCGCCAGTGCTGCAGAGGGCTCGCAGGGGGTGGGGGGACCCTTCCCACCTCCCAACCTCGTCTCCATATTATTTGAATCCCACGAGGACATACACATTTTGGTGTTTATTCTTGCTTATAAAAGGTTTTGTGTTCCTTCTTCTGGACAAAGAAATATTTTAAATTGAGACACCCTGTCTGCATCATCACCCTTAGTCCACAAGCCTTTACTTTTGTCCATTTACAATGTCAATGTAACTATCCACTTTTAAAAAAAGTAATTGATAAGTAAGTGTGCAGGAAAAAAATATGCTTGACAGCTGAATGAAGAATGGCATTTCTTACAGATCTGTTGGTTTACGGCACTAAACCAACGGCTTTACGTTTCGGAAGCATCTGGGCACAGACGCGTGCATTTCTGCAGGCGAAGAACTTTGTGGATTGCTTTAAGACATGCAGGCTGATAAGAGTTGAGATGCATCCAGGAGTTGTGCTTTCGGATTTAGCAGCCATTTGAAAAGTTGCACAGGAAAAGAGTTCTTTACAGTTCCCATTTTTCCCTTATGTAACTGGTGATACTACTCCTCTTCCTTCCTAACCTTTCCCCTAAAAAAAAAAGAAAAGAAAGAAAGAAAATATATTTGTAGTATACTCAGCTCGTGAGAGGACTGAGCAGGCAGGTTTTATCAATTTGTTGTTTTACATGTTAGCTACTTTTTAAAACTGCTCTTTCTTAGACAGGTTGTTCATAGAGTGGTTTATTTTTAATTAAGCCACTTTTCATTTACCTAATGCTCTTTTAATGCACATTTAGAACTGTTGGTAGTTATTGTATTCCTAGTTCTATTCTGTGTCTAGAACTTAGAACCACTAGAATTTTTTTTTAGTATCTCATAGATACATTAATTTAATACGTGGATGTTTACAAGAGCGTTTTTTCACATTTCTTTTAGACACTCATCTAATTGTATCTTCAAATGTGAACAATTTCTGCCAAGTAAATGCTGTATTTCCAATCAGCTGGCCGGTAGGGTGTGCTCTAGTCCCTCGCCAAATAAATAAATAAATAAATAATATTCGGGTTCAATTCTTCATTAAGAGATTTCAGAAATATATTTCACTCCTTCATAGCCACCGACACAGATGAGATTTGTTTATGTAGACCCAAGCAAGTAGCTCAGCTTAGCTGACGCATGTGGAAAATAAAGTTGTTATATTTTTAAAAAGGAAGCTTTGAGATGTTTACTTCTTTGAAATTAGCTCTAAAATAATTTGGCATTATTTTACCCAATTGGTCCCTTGGCAATGTATTTTCTTTCATTCTGGCTAAAAGTAGAATAAGAAAAGTGGCCTATGATGCAGAACCTAAGCTCCGGAATCGGAGGGTTTGGCTGTGAATCCCAGCTCACCAACTGTATGACTCAGGCCAGTGACTTAATCTCTGGTAAAATGGGGCAACTGTGGTTTTCACTCCGGAGGGCTCCTCGGCAGGAGAATGGGAGGTGCTTGCAAAAGCGTTCAGAACACAGCCTGACCCCTCAGGGCCTAATAACTGTTAGCTGTTTTTATCAGTATTGTCTTCTCATTGTTACTGTTACATATTCTTTGAGAGAGATTGGACACCTTTCATGGCAAGATTCCAGAATTCTCGATGGCTTATTACTATGTATGATTAGATTGGTCAAGGAAGTTGTTTCATTAAATTCTAGCAGCATAAATGATTTGTAAGATAAAATGTCCTGCTTTATCTGCATTATTTCTATTTAAGAGGCTATAAAATCTTAAGCCAAAGAAAAGACTCTGTCATCACGAAACTTCAGGCACCAGCAGGTCCCAGGAGACGTGCTGTAGGCAGGGAGGACCTGCGGGCTTCCCTGAAGGGCAGTGACCAGCAGCCGAGTGTCTAGGAGCATTTATTTGTAAGCCCACACTCATCCACATCCATCGGCATGTTTCCTTTAAAGAAACAGATTTAATCTGTGCATAAACTTAAAGTCCCTGCAGAACTTTGATATGGGAACAGCTTTGCCACTTCTCTGGAATGCTAAGACAAGGAAACCCACCCAGTGACTGGAGACAGTGATGTTGAGAAGCATTGCATGAATGCTAACCCTGCTTGGCATTTATAACTTCATTCGTCCATCCAAC